ACGAAGCTCGTATGCGAAAGTTATCGACGAAGCTTAGTCTCTACTTTTTGTGCGCGGCAAATTCGATACAGTTTTGTAAATCCGAGATAGATTGAGAATTAGCCAACAAGGCCTAAATGAAAGTTGTATTACTCATAAATACCAACGCATGGATATAAATATCGACAAAAACGTAGATCATATGCGAAAGTTACGGATGAAGCTTAGTCTCTACTTTTCGAGCGCGGCGAATTCGATACAGTTTTTGTAAATATGAGATAGAATGAGAATTAGCCGACGGGATCTAAATGAAAGTTGTAGTACTCGTAAATAAGAAATGAACTCTTCATAATTTCTTCACACCATAAGCCTCGTACGCGAAAGATACGGACGATGCTTGGAGACTACTTTACTATAAAATTCCTATAAATAAGAAATGAACTCTTCATAATTTCTTCACACCATAAGCCTCTCTTTCTCTCTCTAGCCTCCCTAAACCCCTCCCAAGTCTACGGAACCTCCCTAGCACAAGAAGAAAGCCCCATAGCGCCCGAAGGCTCCGAGAAGAAAATATTTCGGCTCAGAAACGCTGCTCCAGCGAAGCCCGGTTTTTTTCTATAAAACCTGTTGTAAGTGAGCAACGCCTACGCTATTTTTAATATAGCTTCTAATTAATTATATTAACATTATTAGGACCTTAAAATAATTATTTGTGATATCATTATGAGTTATATTGAGTGTTATTAACGCTTGTATAATAATAATAATAATAATAATAATAATAATAATAATAATAATAGTTAGACTATTATTTAGTCGCGGTTAACGTCAGACTAAACCCTAGTCATATTGATACTAGATTTTGTCGAGAAAATTGTGTTAAGAGTAACAAAGTGTTGTCCAAGCGCCGAGTCACCATCTTCTCAAGTGAGTGCATGGTCACTTTCATCTTACACATATATATGAAGTATTTTAATATAAATTACGTGGTATGTATGCATATTGTCTGAATACTTGTTGTCTATGCTAGTGAAAGATTTTTATACATGTTTTAAATGATGTAAACTGTATAAAGTATTTTATATCTACAAAATATGTTGGGTAAAAGTTATCTGAAATAGAGGAACATTAGTAGTACGGACCTAGTGCCCTATAGGTATACATTGGCAGCAGTGGACCTAGTACCCTATCAATGAGCACTGGCAGCTGCGCCACAACCCGTAGATGATTTAGATCTACGGTAAACGTCCTAGCAGCTGGGCTCTAAGGACAGTATCGGCAGCTGCGCCTAATAGGGAGCCTTATGACCATGACAGTAGCGTTTAAAGTTCAATACCGGCAGAAGCGCCTCATATAAAATGCCCCGATTCTGGCAGCGGTGCCTAAGTGATAGAACTAGCAATTGTGCTTGACAGTTGTATCATTAAAGACAATGGACTTCGTACATACTCCTTAGGATAATCCTTAGGAATGAATGAATGAGAAATAGTTGATCCTTAGGGTAAATCCTTAAGACGATAATGGGAATGGGTAATTGGCTTGATTGTTTGATGTTTAAATATAATAATTATATTATTGTGGGTTGGCAACCCTATATACTCGCCAGGTTTCCCAACCTGACCCACTCCAGCTTATTTGTATCACAGGTGTCGATACGAAGCTACTTTACACTGAGAGATTTAAAAGAGTTGTAGATCACTAGTGTAAATGAATGTAAGTTCTGTTTATGCTTATGTTCCTGTATTGACGATGACATCCCAATGTTTTAAAATAAATAAAAAAATACATTTCTTTGGAAATGCTTTGATAACGTAATTATCATGTTTTTATGGGGACAAATTCCGCAACACTTTTATTAAAACAAAGTACTCTGATTTTTATAAAGCATAAACAAAAAATCGGTCTTTTCTGGTCCTGAAAATTGGGGATGTCACAATCATCATTGTCGTTTGGAAAGGGATCAAAATCCACAAATTGATATGTCGAACTTGGAATCACTCGTTATTAGACTCTAAGTTTGGGTTACTTAGTTGACTATTCTCTCCCTAAACCTGAGAAGGTTACATTTCATATACAAATGGCAGTACTGAGGGTGGTGGACCAAAACTATTTTGAGATTCTGATGAACTTGGAGCTCAACGAGTCTATGAATTTGAAGTAGTTTCTAGACTACCAAATAGAGTCTCGAAGTCAACTTTATAGATGATTTTCCAATATGGAGAACCAGGGTGGAGCATTGAACTCCGTGATATGAATGGTAACATGAATTAGTTTTGATTCGAAAATAAATTTATAATCAAAATTAATGTTGAATCATTCTTCGATCACTCTTGTATGTTAGTTTAGAACCTAATAAGCCTTAGATTTTGTAGAATAACCCAGGCAGATTGCTTCATCGGATTTTGGTTGAAATTTAGTCAGCCAGTCTCTATTGTTCTTGATAAAACACCTGCATCCAAAAACATGTAAAAAAATACTAGGTTTTCTAATGTTCATGGCTTTATAAGGATTTTTGATGAGGCATCGATTGATGATGTTTTGATTTTAAGTGAAGCGGGTAGTATTGAAAACTTCAACCAATATATAGAGAGGCAATTGGTGAAGTTCAACATCGATCAAACAACTTCAACCAGAGGTCTATTTCTTCATTCGACAAAACCATTTTGTTGTGGGATGTAGGGAGCAGAGATATTGCGATCAATATCTTTGTCAACTAAGAACTTCTAAAAATTTGCATTATTGAACTTTGTTCCATGGTTACTCTGAATTCTTCTAACTGGAAGTTTTGTCAACACCTTGATTCCTTTAATGAAGTTGATAAGATCGGATGTGGTCTCGGATTTTCATCAAAGAAAGAATACCCATGTGAACCGAGTATAGTCATCAAAAATCACCAGGATGTACTTTTTGCGGTGAAGACTATCAATAATCAATGGACCACAAAGGTCAATATGAAGAAGTTCTAGAGATTCAGAAATAGAATTTTTCATTCAGCATTGAACGAAATTTCTTTTATTTCTTCCCACACTTACATGTAACACATAAGAGCTCATTTTCAAATTTGAGGAGAGGTAGACATCGTACCATTTCACCAGCTACAAGATCATTCATAGATTAGAAGTTTAGACAAGCAAGTCTTTGATCCCATACCCATCAAACATCAAAAAAAACTTTAGTGAGAAAGCATATTTAAGGTTTTATGATAATGAGATTGATATGTAGTGGATACATATTCTTGTTCCGATCTAATTGAATGAGACACTTTGACCAATGTCATGATGTGGCTATGCTTGTTGAAAAATTCAACTCTATGATGTGAATATATGATTTGGACTACACTAATAAGATTGTGTTTGAGGCCAGCAACAAAATCCACGTTGGAAATGGTGAAATTTCCATTTGTGAGGATACCACAACCTTAGTTGACACAGTTTGAGTAAATTTCTAAAGTAACATAACCACATTTTGGAGAAAATTCCTATCATTATACCATATTGTTTCTTGTTCCTCTGTGCATAGTGCATGCAAAAAAATTAGAGAGATTTAGAGTATTTAAGCTCCTTATTAGTAACAAGGACCTTAAGTTTGGCTTTGGACTTAATCAAGGACTTTGGAATAATGGGACTTTCGGATTGATTTTTCTGATGTTCTTTTGGAAACATGTAGAAGGTAAGACTCTTTTCGTTTATCTAAAAATTATATTCAATCTTAGGTAAACAAACATTTTCCTTGACTCTCCATTCATAAAGAGAGCAAATTTCATCGGAGGCCTTATATCCGTTAATCTGACATTTTCTTTTAACTTGGGTAACTAGCAGAAACTTTGGATTTTTATAATGGTCCAATTTTGTGAATGTTTCCTTCGGATATAACAGTGAATTCAGTGAAGGCAATTGCACAAAACGCAATTTCGGAGATGACGATTTATGAGAAGAATTAACTAATGATAATCTTGGAGATGATGATTTCCAAGGAGAGCGAGGAACAATTGAAGATCTTGGAACCGGCGATTTCACAGGATAGTGCTCATAATCATAATTAGGGTTTACAGAAGTAGCCTTAAGCATTTGAGGCCTTTCTGAACCATACTAGACATAAAAACGGTGCTAAAAATAGAATTTCTTTACGATCATAGTAGGAAAAACTGTATCGTAATTGCTAACATTGATCGAACTATTGTTGGGGACACACTCTTCTCACTCTTCTTTTTCATCTCAAGAATCTAGACTCATTTCTAAATCTAATTTCAGACTCTAAGCCTTTTCTCGCTTCAACTTTTGGATGAACGATATCCTTTTTGTTCAGCTAGGTTCTTTCTTTTTCATGGCAACAAATGGTTTGGAGGATTGTCCTACATAGGGGTTTTTAAAGAAAGGATTAATCAAGACTAAGGTAGATTTTGAGACAACTTTTGACTTCAAAATACTTGAGTCCAAAAAGAAATGTTCTTCACACACACTTATAACTTCCACATTGGAATCACTCTGGATGATCATGAACAGTGTTTGCAAATGTGTTTGAATCAATCAAATCAACAAAATCAATAAAGAACACCAATATCTAAATAAGATTTGCTTAGCTCAGATTTTCTGGAAAATTACAAAGGTTTTAGAGTACAGAAAATATTATGAGACTATTAGTTACCCTAACACAAGGACTTGACGATACAATGTGAAACTTTAAAATGTCTTGTAAATAGATGTAATAACGAAAGTCCTTAACCTTTTGGTATTTATAGACGCAAAACCTAAAGACACAGCTTTTGACTACTCACTATAACTTTCAACTCTATAATCTCCCCATTAGTGAGAACAATCGAAACTTCAAGTTATTGTCTTCAATGCCTGTAACAACTCCTTCCTAATCTCTATATACCACAAAATGATTTTTCGAACCTCTACCTTGTCTTCATTATCATTATTCTCTCAATGTCATTTGTTGGGAAAAGGTATTTTGTTAATTTTCCCATTCTATTCTTCCCTTGGAAGACAACTCCCAATGGTTTATGGATGATCTCTCCATTACTTGTCTAAATCCTTTCTTACCTTTAACAAAGATTTCAGCACATTCGAAGTCTTGTTGATTTCCATGGCAAGATCTATATCTATGACTGCCAAATTGAAGACTTTAATATGACCATATCTAATCACGAAATCTTTTTGTTTATCTTCATCAGTTTGAGAATCATCAACATCACACAAAATAATTGAAATCGTGATGAGATCATTAATGTTCATCAATGGAAAGTCTGCAATTGCAAACCTACAAGTTGCATTAGTATATCACATCATAGAATAATGAAAAATATGCCTCAGCTCCTCGAACAAAACATCCAGAACAATCGACACAACTCTAACAATCTTCACTGAAGACCAAACCTCCTATTTAGTTTTACCCAGGACTGCATGGAAGCGAATCTTCAAACATTTGTATTCTTCTTTATCCTTGAAATTTTCAACTAGTATGAACTGACTAAAAGTGAACATTAGATGATTTAATGGAAAATCAAGCTGATTGAAGTCTGCATTCTCGATGTCATAGCTTTTCTTAGGTTTCTTTATAAACTCAAACAACCTTGTCAAGCACAAAAACTTATATACTTTCATAACATCAAGTCTTGTTGAGATCACCCTTGTTTCAATCTTGTTGGATCATTCACCCTCTGATTCATTATATTGCTCACTTGCCTCTGCCTTTTGATTTCCATTTTATGTCTTCTTTTTGTCTCTTCTGTAGAAGGTTCAACATGTATGCATTTCCCTTTGTCTTTGAAATCGACTGTAGAGGTTGTTTTGAAAATAGCAGAACTCGAACCTCCCTTACCAATCGAAATTCCCTCTTTTTCAATCTAGACCAATCCATATTTTCTTGGGGATCATTCATTGTAGTCATTGTTGCAATTGATGAAATTGGTTTCATTGGTATTGTTGTAGGAATTTGAGTGGACAAAACTTTCCCCACAACTACACATGTATTTTCGCCAAGTCCTTTTGAAGAACCAACACTTATTTCTCCCCCTTGTGAGACGTGTAAAAACGTGGAGCAGTTATTGGTAATCAAAGAACCAAATTCAAGATTGGAGCCAACTCTAGTTTGAAACTCGACTCAATAGTTGAAACTATTGCAGAAACAGAATGTTGCGAGATAGAAGATTGAGATGAAAGATCAACTTTTGACAAAGTTTCTTTAACCAGAAAGAAAATTTTCAATCTTCTCAAAAACTTTGACATCCTTTTCAGTCTTATCCTTGAGATCATTATAATAATCTTTGTTGAAAGCAGTAAGATATTCTATCAAACGAGTTCTTTCACTTGCCACTACATCAACCTTTTTATTCACTGAAACACAATAATTATCCAACTTCTTAACCTTTGTGGAGATCAAGTCTCTAAGATCTTTAACCTTGAACTCAAGAGAAGCTTCCGTTTCATACACCAGCTTTTCAAAGATTTCACGACGGTCTTTCACAACATCATGAATTTTAGAAATCTCATAATCAAAAGTACGACACTGATTAGTCACTCTCTCATCATTTCTCATATCAACATTTTCAATTAGGGTTGTCAGACAAGATTCGTGAGCTTTCAATAAGTATTCAACCTCAACACAACTTATAGAGGTCTTCCCAATATTATCACCCAAAAATGAAGAATAGAATTCATCTTGCCGTTAAGAATTTTAAATTGTTTACCTGGCATGATTGCCTCATCATGTACATCGTCTTCTTAAAGATTAAACACTATGTCAGTAAATGAAACCATCATATCATCATTATTTGTCTCATCTTCAGGAACAATCTTTTCAGCCTTAGTAGATTGAGATCAGAATAAGGTAGTGATAGGTTCTTGCATCACACCAACAAAAGTAGGAGAAACTATAGAAGTGGATGTAGGTGGAATGATAGATATTTGTGGTGGTGAAGATAGTGGTGGTGGTAGAATAGCAATTGTTTTGATAGTTATAGTAATTATCGTTGATGTTTCAATGGTTTGCATCCCTTCACCCATGGTAACATTTGTGTCCTTATCAGATAACTTCACATTAATGTTTAAAGTTTCGTCCTCCTCTATATTGGACTCAGAATGCGAAACTTTGGGTGTTGTGACTTTCGTCTTCTCAATGATTGATATACTTGGTTGTTCACCATAATTGATGTTTTTACATTCGTATTAGATACGTATGCATTCATATCAGGATTACTTGTCTCCTTGAAAGTCGACTTGATAGAGGTATCCTTTCATGGTGAAACATGAAATGAAACTTCAATTTTTGTATTTGAATCATCACTATCATGGCCTGACTCTACAAGAACATTCTCCATTTGATCTTGAACAAGAGTAGGCTTTCGCTTCTTCAACTTTTGTGCAACATCTAAAGTGTGTCTATTTCTAGATGCTGGAGAACCAGGATAAGAAACCTCTCGAATCATAACTCCCTTTCTTTTAAACTACAATTTATGAACCTTCTTTGAAATCCCTTTTTAACAACATTTTTACCTTCTTGTGAGATTGTTTTCACAACAGGAGTAGGAATCTCCTTAGCAACTTTCTTTACTGGTGTCTCCACTAGCTTTTCTATTGGTTTCGAGGATTCAGATTCAAACTATTTATTAGTTGTAGTCTTCTTCATTCTCTTAATCACCCCCTTTTCTATCCTTTTGGGTACTGTCTGCTCACCATTTTTTCTTCAACTGAATTAAGTTACACAATTGGCTCCTTCTTCTTCTTTGGTTTTGATACTTTAGATGATCTCGTTTCATCATGAGTAGTAAATATTGTTGGAAGAATACCAATGGGATTAGAATCCATAGAATCTTGATATCCAATCAGCAACTTATTAGAAGGATTCACCAAGTTGAGCATTGAATCAAGAATTCGAGCAACAATTGGAAAACCCGTAACATCATCAAAAATATTCTTAGGAATTTTCATTGGAGCAAATTGTAGTAGCCTTGTAGTAGCCGGGTGCCTTGCACATTCCATCATGCAACCTCCCACACTTGCCACATCGATTGTGGCTCTGCTGTCCCATAAGTCTGTGATCGGATACCTTGGGCTTTTTTCCCGAACTCCCTGTTCCAGATACTACCTCTGGCTTCCTCTTCCTCTCCATCTCTAAATCAATCTCCCTCTCACGAGCCCTCGCAATCATGTCATCCAACATTTTACATGTGGAACGGCTCACAAACTATCTGATATCACTCCTCAACATCTCATGGTATCGCGCCTTCTTCATCTCCTCGTCTGTCGTGTACTGGGGAATGAGAAGAGCCCTCTCCCTAAACTTAACGGTAATCTCCGCCACTGAATTTGTCTCCTGCTGGAGATCCTGGAACACCCTAGCAAGTTGCTTCACCTCAATAATAGGTGCAAACTTGGATCTGAACCAGGTCGTGAAATCCTTCTAGGTCATAGCATCAAGAGTTGTTTCATCCCCGATGACATGTCCGACATCCTCCCACCAATCACGTGCACTACCCTTCAAAAGACAGGGTGCAAGTCGGACCTTGTCCCTTTCGGGACATCTGCTAGTGCGAAAAGCGTTGGCCACATCAGCCAACCATCTGGTACTCGCAATGAGGTCTCGGGCCCCCTGGTAATCTGGAGCTCCACAAGCCCTGAACTCCCTGAATGTGAGCGTGCGCGACCCCATCCTGGCCGCCACCTCAGCTCGGAACGTACTCATCCTCTCATCCAAAAGCTCCAAAATGCCCTCGTTGATCGAACCAAAGATCACAGGAGTTTGATGAAGTATGTTGTGTGTAATATCTGAGGAAATGAAATCCCTAGTCTACTCATCCAAATGTTCAACCCCGAGCCTTAACTTGATCCCTCTCTGGCACCAGAACCTCCGACTGCTAGTCTAGGGCGCAAAACCACCATTCTGAAAACACATAACGACAACATAAGAATACAATTATAACTTGAGGGATCATATCTACTATGAGTTCCATGGTCTTATCTCAGCCTTCCTTGATTCGAGTACGGATCCGCTGCTTTTAGTAGTACGGGCCCATATTACCTTCCACATATATCCATACTTTCCTCAAGAACTGCCTTGACTCCACCAAGTCCCGTCTACTACTACTGATCTCTGCTACTCTCATCCTAGCCTTGCCCTAGGGAACCTCCAACCCGCACTCGATCCTCAGCAACTGAAGGTACCTTTGTAATGCCAATTAGTCACTACCTGCATACCATCACATGTGACGAGGCTCGGATAAGCCTTCGAGTAAAGGACTTGTCCCTACAACGGCTAGACTCAAACGATAGCTGCACAATAGGGCTAAATCCAGCACTCTGAGATTATTTAACCCTGATCACATGTGACGTGACGTATTCACCTAATGGCTAACCCCCATCACTCAGAGTCCCACAAAGCACCAAGCAAGTAGCATTCAGACAAAAGGGAAATCTAACCCAAGCAATTCTATTCAAACAAGAATCTGTACTAGCATACGATCCTAAGCTCATACTATCAGGCATAACCTAAATAGGCTATCCTACTACTATTTATTCGATACTAGCATGCAATTCTCATAAAGCTGAAACACATATAGAAGACACATAAGGCATCCTTCCTAAATCCTTAGTTCTATTCTAGCATGTTGTTCTACTGAAACTGATAATCATAACATAAACTCGTATTGGTAATTTGGGAGTACTTACTTGAGCTCTGCTGATCGCATGCACCACACCTTTTCTTTGCTTTTTCAAAAACTCTTTTCTTTTTAAATTTCTTTTTCAAAAGTTTCTTTTGAAAATGTTTTTCTTTTGAAACCTTATACCATTTCCTTAGTTTGAGTTTAGACACACCCGCACGAATCCCTCAAACCAAGGCTCTGATACCAACTTGAAACATCCCAAAAATACAAGCCAAAAATTTCATTTGAAAACATTACTAAAACTATAATATCCAAATATCATATAAGAAAGCTATAAGTCATGTGTCTCAAAATGTCATAAAATGTGTCTCATATCAAAACTGATGTCAAGATCATGTCAAAATATCAGAGTCTAACTCCCAAGCTAAAACTCTGGTGTGTGCCATACTATCATCCCGAGCCCTTCCCCTTGCTAGCTGAAGTACCTGAAACCAAAACTAAAACTGTAAGCACGAAGCTTAGTGAGCTCCCCCAAAGTACCACATACCATGCAATAACAAATAAAGCACATATTATGCCTTTCCTACTGCATCGGACCGAATTCTGGAACTGACTAGGGCCTTGCCCACTACATCGGACCGAAGTCCGAAACTAACTAGGTTCTTGCCCACTGCATTGGACCGAAGTCCAGAACTAACTAGGGCCTTGCCCACTGCATCGGACCGAAGTCTGGAACTAACTAGGGCCTTGCCCACTACATCAGATCGAAGTCTGGAACTAACTAGGGCCTTGCCCACTGCATCGGACCGAAGTCTTGAACTAACTGAACATAGCATAACATAATCATAACATATAACATTAACACATATACTGCATACTGCATCGGACCGCATCCCGAAACACATAACACATAGACATGCCTGAATCATAAAGACATCAAGCATACTAAACTACTGTTATCTGCCGTAGACCCGTTCCTACTGGTAGGAAATTCACCTCGTAAGGCTGACTGCTGAAATGTCGATCGGGAACTGTCTGACTGCTGCTTTGATAACTCCCCGGCTACAATTGCCAAAAAGACACTTAATCAAACACTGATAACAAATCCTAGGGTAAAGTGACAATTTTACACCTAGCCAAAGTTAACTTCTATTTGTCCCAACTCGCCGAGTTGTGTAACGCCCGTAGATCCGGGCTAATTTAGAGACAATAAGTGTCGAAAACAACTTTTCGACAAATGCTTATTTAGAATAAATAATCTTAACCAAATTGTAGAATATGTCTCAAGGTTTCCGTACATATAAAGAATGCCGAAATCCGAGTTATAACGAAGAAGTTATGACCCGTTGAAGTTTCAATCTGCACGATACCGGGAAGCGTAAATAGTGAATTTACGATAGAGAGAGATTTAGCATTAGCAATCTAAACAAAAGTCGTAGAATATGTTAAACTAAGAACATCGATAAAAAGAACGCCCAAATCTAACTTCGTATGAAGAAGTTATGATTTTTGGAAGTTTCGGATTAACAGTGTACAGCCCGAAATTTGAATATTAGATCGAGAGGTTTTTAGCCGACACGACCAAAACAAGAATCGAAGATCTCGTTAAGAGTAGCGTAACGAGAAAAATATGGGCAAAAACGGACGTCGGATGAAGAAGTTATGAGAATTTAACAGACCAATCCTGTCCCGGCCTGTTAATAATATAAAATTTAAAATCGAGTCAAAATTAGCCGACGGAGTCTAAACGAAAGTTGTAGAGTACGTTCCCACCTTCGCGTGTATATAAACAACATTGAAAATGGAGCTCGTACACGAAAGTTATGAATTTTTAAATTTTGCACTTGAATTTGCGAAGATGATTGCGAAGTTGATGACGTGGCGCGTTGTGGGTTGTCCATCGTTGATCAAAGGACACTTCGGATTCGGACATGCCTCCCTTCGCTATACCCCACGTCCGAGTTCGGTACACCCAGCGTACCCTCCGGTCTTATCCTTCCGATGAGTTGCGAGACAGCTGGATCCGGGTGGCAACCCTATCCAAGACTACGCCCAGCGTACGTCCGAGGCTCACAGGCTATAAAAGGGGGCGAGGGTCTTCGGATTTTTCACACATTTTCTCATTATCTCTCTACAATCTTTCTCTCTCTAAGGTTTTTAACCCTCTCCTAATCCTACGTGATCCCCTAGCACCCTAAGGAAGCCCCGAGGCTCCCGGAGTCCCGAGAAAAAGAGCCTTTCGTTTTCGAAACGCTGCTCCAAATAAGTTCCGATTTTCTATAAAATTCACTGTAAGTGTGCTATGCTTACGCAATTTTTAATATAGCTTTCAAATAATTATAGGAATGTTATTAGGTCCTTAAAATAATTATTTAGGCTATTATTATGAGTTATATTGAGTGTTAAAAACGCTTATATAATAATAATAATAATAGTCAGGCTAATTAATTTGTCGCGGTTATCGTTAGACTAAACCCTAGTGGTACTGGTACCAGGTTTTATCGAAGGAAATTGTTTTGAGAGTATCGAAGCGTTGTTCGAGTACTAAGTCACCACCTTTCAAGTGAGTGCATAGTCTCTTTCATCTTACACATAGATATGAAGTATTTTATATAAACTACGTGCTATGTGTGCATATTATCTGAATACTTGTTGTCTATGTTGGATGAACGTTTTATACATGTTTTAAATGATTTAAACTGTATACGTATTTTATATATACGAATATGTTGGGTATGACATGGGTAGATGAAATAGTTGCTGTGTGATAACACGATGGAAGACATCATTGTTGTCAGTGATCCAGTCATCTAGTGGAGTATAGATGACGACCATGGACGATACTAGAAAGTCCAATGGAACGATAGCTGGCTTGTAACCTGTAGGTGTTTTTGAACTAGGTGCTCATTAGGTATTTTTGAACTGAGTGTGTTCACTAGGTATTTTGAACTAAGTGTGTTCACTAGGTATTTTGAACTCAGTGTGTTCCCTAGGTATCTTTGAACTGAGTGTGTTCACTAGGTATTTTGAACTGAGTGTGTTCACTAGTTACTTTTGAACTAAGTGTTTACCAGATGTTTTGGACTACGTGTTCACCGGTTATAATCTATAACCCTTGGTAACGATGGACTTCGTGCCGATTCCTTAGGATGATCCTTAGGAATAAATAAATGAGGAATAACTGATTCTTAAGGTAGACCCTTAAGAGTAAAGAAGATAATGGGGATGGGTAATTGGGTTGATTGTTTGATTGTTTAAACATAATAATTATATTATTGTGGGTTGAAAACCCTATGTACTCACCAAGTTTCCCAACCTGACCCACTC